GACAAATATTGGATCATTAAGGGAAGACAGCGTGTTTAAGACTATCATCAGCAAAATGTGTGATATGCAAACGATATAGTGCTCGTCCTGGGGTACAGGATATCGCTTCCACTTCCTCCAGACAGAATCCAAGAGTCGCCTCCATTTGCTGTGACCGGGTTGGACTTCGCCGGTCCATTTTTTACGAAAGACAGGCAAGGTAAAGTTTACATGCTGTTGTTAAACGTGTGCGGTCACTCGTGCCTTACATATAGAGATAGTAACTGATCTCAGCACTGAAAGTTTTTTGCTAGCTTTCCGAAGATTTTTAGCTCGCCGAGGACTGTGTACCACCGTGTACTCTGATAATGCCAAGACTTTTAAAAGAGCTGACAAAGAACTAAAACATATTTTTAAAACTTTGAGTGATTCATCTGTGAAAGAATTATTTTCTGCTAGAGGCATAAATTGGAAATTTATTATTGAGAGGGGTCCATGATGGGGAGGGTTTTTGGGAGCGTATGGTACGAACCATAAAATCCAGCTTGCGAAAAAAAAAAAATTATTGGTCGAATCATCCCTTACTGTGAAAGAGCTTGAAACAGTGCTCATTGAAATCGAGGCAATGATTAATTGTAGACCAATTACCTACGTGTTTACCGATCCCAATGAACCTTCTCCACTAACACCCTCTCATTTTCTGGTTGGTAGACGATTGCTATCTCTGCCTGCTAATAAAATAACATCAAATAATTTGATTGGGTCAAGAAATTCAATTATTAAACGATATAAATACCATCAAGATATTTTAAATCATTTTTGGAAGCGTTGGAGATCAGAGTATCTTTTTAATCTGAGATCTGCCAATATTTGTCCTCCACACTCTAACGCATCTCAGTTTAAAATCAACGATATTGTCTTGATTCATGACGACAAAACATCCCAGAAATCTTGGACAATAGGTAAAATTTTGGAATTAATGCCAGGCAGAGATGGTAAAATAAGATCTTGCATAATTAAAACACCTACTGGTACCTTAAAAAGGCCTATACAATATTATATATATATATATGGAACTTACTATATATATGGAACTTAACTAATGTTTGTATTTTGTATTTTTAGGTTTGATTCTCCTGACCTTGCTGATAGGTATCATTTAATGTTTTGTAAAATTTTATGTGCTTATAATTATGTATGCATGTTTGTTATATTTAACCATTTCTCCAGGATTATTGTCGAAATATTAATTGAATATTCTAGAATATATTATTGAAAGATGAACTCTCCACCGAGTTCAGGTGGGGAGTGTTGTGTAATTTGAAGAAAAAGGCTAGAGGGCGCTGTTGCTCGCTTAGTTGTAAGAGAATAAAGTTTGTTCATGTTGAAGGCGGCGGCCTAAGAATACGCTCTGTATATAGTAATTAAAATATTGTTTAAAATGTAAAAGTGTTAAAATTAGTAAACCCACTGAACCACCATCATCTGATTTGGAGATGCACAAAATTATTAGATCTAAAAGACAATATGGGTTTCGTCGCCAATCTTGTGATACACAGCCAATAATGTATAACGAACAATATTAAGCTACGCTAAGAAAAAAGAACTTTTTGAATTTTATGTGGATTCCAACACCCCACTTGCAATGAATAACAGAAAAAGTGTTCGTTACGCTAAAAATGACGATGATGACAAAGTGATTGGATGGGTCAGACAGCGTCGCGAGGGCGTGCCATTGACAGGTCCAGTTGCTTATGGCTCAAACCAAAATATTTCATGAAGAAATGAATTTAAACACTGAGTGCACATATTCGACAGGTTGGTTAACCAAACTAAAAAATCGCCATAGTATAAGACAATTAAAAATTTCAGGTGAAAAAGCTTCAGCTGGTATTGAAGCTGCTGAACAATTTGTAGATGAATTCATTGAACTCATTACAAGTAAAAATTATCTCAGAACAAATTTACAACGCTGATGAACTGGTTTCTGGCAATATGTACCGCAAAATACCTTGGCAACCTCTACAGAAAAGGCTCCAACTGGTAAAGATTCCAAAGCAAGACTAACAATTTTAGCATGTGCAAATGCTGCAGGAACGCACAAGTGCAAACTTTTCGTAATCGGAAAACATGCACGACCTTGAGCATTTAAAGGAGTAACGATTTTGCCTGTTATATATCACACAAATAAAAGAGCATGGATGACACAAGCGCTAATGAAAAATTGGTTTGAAAATCATTTTATACCCAAGGCTCGGCAACATTTGAAATCGGTTGGTTTACCTGATGACTTAAAAACAGTCCTGATTGTAGACAACTGTTTGACTCATACTTCACTTAAAGTTTTAGTGAAAGATAATGTATCCCTATTATTCTTCCCTCCAAATTGTACATCTGTCATTCAGCCTATGGATATCGGAATAGTGTGTGTGCTGAAATGTAAATATAAAGTAGCATTTTAAAAATCTATGTTAAATTTCTTGAACAATAGCAAGACTATTCAAGACTTTTTGAAATTTTTTAGCATAAAATCTGCTGTGTGAAGCATTGCAAGATCGTGGAGGATGTGTCTCTAGATACGTTAAAAAATGCTTGGCATAACTTATGGCCAGCTACCATATTTCATGGTGAGGATGATGAAGATGATAGCCATGAATTTGAAGGTTTTCAGATATCGCAAACTAAAGGTGAAATTTTCCAGTTATTGGATTTTGTAAAGAAATGTGGAGAAGCGGTAATAAATGAAGATGATATAAGAGAAGTTTTTCATTGCGACGACAATGCCCCAATCATCAATCAATTAACGGACAGCGAAATCTGTAGTATGGTTCTAGATCCAGAAAATATTGCTTCTGATAGTGAAGAAAGTGACACAGAGGTTATTGAAAACGAAAAAATTTCAATTAACCCTTTGTTGCATACAAATAATCTAGAGAAGTTAAATGAAAATGTTTGTATTTTTTCTACTTAAAATAACCTTAGTAATAATAATAATAATCATAATAATAAATTAAAAAAATATTAAAAAAAATCAAATTTCGTTTTAAATAATTGCTACAGTTTGTTCACTACAGTGGATAGCATGCATATACGTACATGCATACAAATCTCTTCCCAATGATTTACGGTCATTGCATTTGAAATCATTTCCTACCTTGTTTTGCAGTGATCATTAATATCTTCTAAATGGTAAATCCACAACCAACATGTACATACAGAGCCCCCAAAATACTTCATTTCGTCGATTGCGATTAAATTCATTTTGCTATGATTTTGTAACCTGTACCTATTGGATTCAAATGTCAAATGTTCTAGAAATTCCTTGCCAAACATAAACATTTCCAGTGGTGTTTCGGCTTGATAAGGAGTACATTTGGGTTTCAATTCACTCTTTTCGGTAGATTTTTATCTACCCAATCTACAATTTTCTCAAACTGACATTTAAAGTAAAATGTCTAAAATGAGTTATTATGAATGAATGGTAGTAAAAGAAATTATGAATTATGGCAGTGTAAGAAAAATGTAAGCAATATTATATAATGTTTACTATTGAGAAATTTGTACTAACTTGGAAACAGAAAGTAGCAGCCATTTTTCAAATAGCGGTGCTTTACTTAGTGATGCTATACAGCCATCTATGATCGACAGTTGAAAGTTCTTATAATATAGAATGAATAAACAGAGGAATGAAATCTGTTAAGGCATTTAGAGAAGAATAAACAAATTTAAACTTTTGTCTACCAGAGTGGACATGATGCAACAAAGGGTTAAGAAGTTAGTTGGTATTCTCGACACACCAATTACAAGGCTTGAACAGTGGAACTTTGTAACTGAATAAGAAATTATGTCTGTTTATAGAATTAAAGAGAAAGTATTAGCACAAAAAAAAAAAAAAAAAAAGAAGCAAGCAACTTACATCGAAAGAAATTTCTAATAAAATAAACAAATAAATATTAAGCTTTTTTTTTCTTTTTTTTTTTTTTTTTTTTTTTTTTTTTTTTTTTTTTGTAAAATTTGATACCCTTTAGATCACAATTGCTCTTTTTTTTTTCATAAATTACGGTTTCATATTTTTAATTGCAAAATTTCTGCATGCCATCTTACCAGATTTAAATTGGTGATCTATAATCTGGAAAAATAATAATTAATGCAGCAGTAGGAATTGGAGGAATGGGATTTCTTGTTTGAGCTCATTATATATTTTTTGTAGGGATAGATGTATATACATGAGTTTATTTTACTGCTGCTATGATAATTATTGCGTTTCCTAAAGGAATTAAGGTTTTCAGTTGAATAGCAACTTTAAATGGAACTTATTTTAAGATAGATGCTCCTATATTATATTTAAGATAGACGCTCCTATATTATAGGATTTGTATATCTATTCAATTTAGGAGGAATTATGGGGTAGTTCATTTTCATTATGTATTAAGAATAGGAGCTGTGTTTAAAATTTTTGCTGGAATTACTGATTTCGTTTGCTTTTTGGAGGGTAAACGTAAGAGGGAAAGGGGGGAAAAAAACTATTTTACATTTTTATGGAATGTTTGTAGGGGTTAATTTAACTTCTCTTTCTTGACATTTTCTAGGGTTAAATAGTATGCTACAGTGTTATTCAGATCTGGCGCTGATTTGTATTGAAATATTATTTCTTCTTTAAGGTCAATTTATGCCTTTCACAATTTAATGGGAAGCTTTTTATGGATGCTGTAACTCGATAACTGTGACTCATTAACAGAACTGGAGCACTTGCTTTGAGTCCTTTGATTGGATTAAAAAAAATCAGTTATATAGATCATGTGAAAAGTGTAGCAGCAAGTTGATTACTTGCATTATCTGAGTAGTTTTCACAAAATAAGGGTTTCTATTTTTAAATTCTGTTTCAAGTGTACAATGTTTTGCATCTTAATTGCCCTAAGATGTACTTTCTCTTAATTTTATGAAGGAAAGTGTTATAGACTATCATTTATATGCAAATGAGACATTTTAAAATGATAGGCATGACATTAAGCATGAAATGTAATAACAAATCCCAACTACAAAGAATTAAGTCTTACCACTCCTATATGGCACATGAGAACAGAACTCTGAGGGTTTATAGCTAGAGCTTTCCTGTAATGAACTTCAGCTAATTGGAACTTTTCTTGCTTATAATATATCATACCAACACCATACCTAAATCAAAGAATGCAAAATTTAACAGATTAAAAATGTATTTCAATTATATTGAATAAAAGAAATATATGCCTTGAAGAATTTTTGAAAAATTAAAGTTCAATACTGAATTACAACCTACTGCTTAAACAACATATAAAACCTACTGTACTGAAGCTATTTTTATCAAAGGCATAAGTAATGTAACTTATGCATTATATTTTTATTTCACAATATTATCACACTTAATAGGACCATAAATAATGTTTACTTTAACATCATTAAATTCATTAGCATGATCAATAATACACATGAGAGTGACTCTGAAATTTTTGAGATACACAGGCTTTTTAAAGTTATAGTTACAAAATTTCTGGAGTGTTCAATGTAGTCTCCTCCAGCATTAATGTACTTCTGTAGGTGAATTTTCCAAACATTAAATGCCTAAAACCATTCGTTTCTTGGAATCGAAGAATAAAATGCATTTACAGCCTCATCAATCTCATCTTTGGAATGAAAACCACATCCACTTAAGTTGTTTTTTAAGATTAAAAAATGGCCAAAAGCATAGCTAGATCAGGTGAACAGGGTGGATGCTTTATCACTTTGACATGTATTTGTTCAAGAAACTGTCGATCTTACTGAATGAGAAGATGCACTGTCCTGGTGGAATACGAGTCCTCTAATATTCACTTCTTGAAGAATTTTTCTGAAAGACACTTAGTGGTGTACCAGTTAATTGTGATTGTCTGTTGCCCTTCCAACTTCATGGTTCTGATCAATCCTGTACTTCTGAAGAAAGGGGCATACATTACTTTTTTCAGGGTATGTTGTCTTTTCACTATTGTGGACATGAGATCATCTTCAAATAATACTTTACTTTCTCGACATGTTGGAATGTCAAAAAATGGTACGTATGTTTCATCACCAGTTACAATTTTACAAAAAATTCAGTGGCCGCCATCTCTCATTAATTCAAGGGTTTCTTTACCGATTCTGACACACTCCTTTTTTTTGGTGCTCAGCTAAATTATGGGGAACCCAATGGCAAACAAGTTTTTTCATGAATAATTTTATCTACGGTGGTAGATCCAATGTTAAGTTCATTCTGTATCATTTGGCAGCAATATCACTATACATCTTCCATACGTCAGACACATTATCTGGCATTTATGCTGACAACAGCTTTCCTGTGAGTTCTTCTCCCTGAAGAGAGATGCGACCCCAGTGAAATTCTGCAAACCATCCGAATACAGTAGCATGTGATAGACCTCAATTTCCAAATACTAAATGTAGATATTGACTGCATTCTTCTTGATTCAATCCCACTTTAAAATTACAGCAAATCATACAGCGATAATGTTCACATGTCAACTCCATTTTTCCTTCTGGTTAAAATTTACTCTACACTAAACTACTTGCAATTGGCTAATAAAAAACTGCCTGCTAGGCTAAAATAGTTCACTTTTTCAAATCTAACAAGTAATTTTTTTTTTTTTTTTTTCCTGCCACTTATTGTCTGCGCTTATTCCAGAAATTTCATAGTGACCTCCATATCCCATATTTGGAAATATAAAGGTTCATCTCTAAGAATTTATTTTATACATAGTATGATATAATTTTATTAATCAATCAACAAACAAGTTCAAGAGTCTGAAAAAAAAAGGCCATTAAATTTATCATTTCTAATCAATTTAAAAATATGATCTTAAATTGGTATTAATTATTTCTTATAAAATGAAAAAGGTATTCTCTGAAAGAAACTTACATTTTATTTTCATATATGTTTTCACATTTCAACATAACAATTATGTTAGAAACCACAATTAAGGCATAAAAGCAAATGAAAGACATAAAAAAATCAAAGAAATAAATGCAAAAATTTTCTTTTTAGATATTTAGAGCACAGCATGTAGAAAACTGGCTGAAAAGTACCACATTTACTAATATATTCTCCTCCTCCCCAGCTTTTGCAGTAAAAGAATTACCAATATTTGATTAATGGTAGCAACATATAAGATTATGAAGACATCACAAAGTACATTATTTAAGTAAAAGAAATAATATTAAAAGTATCAATTGTGATCAACTTCATCGACAATAAAATAATATTAGTACATTTTTTATGCATACTGTAATCATTTCAGTTAAAAGCCAACTTTCAAAATTGATATACCTCACATAATTTTTTTCTTTTTGATTTTCAAAAGGTAAAATTAGCAGGGGGGGGGAAGTAGAATAGAGACAAGAAAGCACAGAATTAATTTATAATGGAAAGTGAAGAAAAACTATAATATCAAATGAAAAAAAAATATACCAAAAACAATCATTCACAACATAGAAATATTACCACTTTGCTGTAGGAAGAAGAATCCTATATTTATGTAAATGTGTACATTTTTTGAAGAAAAAAGTTCTAGGGTTATGCTTTGAATACATTTTGTGACATCTTTTAGAAAGTATATATCAGGCTGCAATGAAAGTTTTCACCAAAAAACATTCTTAATTAAGTTATGGGGGGGGTAACAAACGTGAAAGCAGTAACTTTAGTGCAGGTAGTAATCGCCACCCAAATCTCCGATTTTCTGCCAACACTTTGGTAGATTTTCAAAACTTGGTGGCTGCGAGTCCAAAAATAGATCAATTTCATTTCAGATGTTCCATGCAGAATGGAAGATAGCACCAGCAAGAAGTAGCTGCAGGTGTAAAAAAAGGTAGAAGTCCGAAGGAATGATCTTGGGGCTATGTGGTGAATGTAGAAAAGATCACATTCGAGTCTGTAGAGTCCAGCGGATGAATGCAGATACATGTGATCCTACATTATCTTAATGGAATATTACCTTTTTGAAGCCAGTTTGAAGTTTTTCCTAGACAGTAGCGTCAATACGAACTAGCATCTCACTGTACAGCTTACTGTTGAAGATTTACCATTTTTCAGATACTCTTTGTGGGTAATACCACAGCAATCCCACCAGATAAAAAGAATGATCTTTTTGTTAGTCAAACTGCGCTTTGTGATGCTGCCAGTGGGCTCTCTGAGAGCAGACTAACCCCCTTTACGGCACGTGTTGTTGAAGTCAATCCACTTTTCGTCACAAGTGAAGATGTGGTCCAGAATTTTGTACTTGCATTAATATTCAAGCAGATTAGTGCAGGCCTGAACATATCTGCTTGAGTCAGCTCATGCAGAACCCAGCGACTGATCTTGTATGTTAAGTTTATGTGACGCATATCACGATTAATGGACACAGCACTAACGTCTAACTCCTTAGCAAGCTCTTGAATGGTTGCTTATTGATCTTCTTCCACACGTTTTCGCAAGCAGGCCCTCACCAACATCAGCAGGCTGAGCAGAGCCCTCTTCTTTAATGTCGTAGTCCTTGTTTTTGCACTTTCGGTACCAAACCTTCACAGTATCATATGATACAACAGTATCTAAAGCTGTACACATGATTTAGTGACATACTGAAGCTGACTTTTTGCAACAGAAGTGGAAGTAAATAATTGTTCTAATCTGGCAGCACTCATTTCACACACCTTGTACTTAATGATAACAATATTTTTTTACAAATTTCACAATGCAGTGTTATAAAGGAAGTCTCTTTCTTTCAACAGGGTTGCCACTCAAACAGGAGAATGAAATTCCCTGACTTTTCCAGGTTTTCCAGGTGTGTTTCAAGAAAATTCCAGTCTATCTGCGTAATGTACGTTGGCTGTGCTAAGAGGTAAATTAATTATGGTATTACTTCTATTGTGTAGCGAATTCACTTAATTATTCAATAAATCCCAGAGGACATTTATTCCTAATTATTCTTGGTATACTTTGTTTGATAATTTTGTTTACTTTTCCACTTAAGAAACTTAATAAAATGTAAGATATATACATTGGATAACAAATGCATGTTTAATTTAATTATTACTCATGATCATCACCAGTTCAAGACGAGGCTAATTGGTCCTTATAAATCACAACGCAATGCTAAATAGGTTAGATTTTAAGTAAATTTAATTTGCGTGAGGTATGTTCTTAAAAGGCACCTTAACACTTGAAAACACAAATATAATTATAATAGTTGTTGTTTTCTGCACTGAAGATTGAGATTAGGCTTTTTTTGCAGACATTCTGCAGCTAAACGAAAGAAAGAAATCTATTTTAATAAATTGATGTATTTTATATTTTTTTCGCATCATACATAAGGAAAAAATATGTGCATTAAATTTCGTGATGGTATGTCATCATACTGCTAGAATTAATTTCAGGATTATGCCAGAGAAAATTTCCTGAAATTTGGAAATATTATTTACTAATAATAAATAAATTTAGAGGGAAGAAGCAACATTAAATTATACGAATAACATAAAATTCAAGATAATTACTTAAAAATTGAATTAGAATAATTAACGATATTTTAGCGAATATAGTTATATTACTTGGTTAGCCTAGATGACTGATTACTATTTTTTTTTTTTTTATTTTACTGCAAAATGGCAAGGTATTTATTAAAAAGAAAAAAAAAAGTTTAAAAAGATTTTGCGGTAAAATTCTAGTATACGGTAAGGCCTTGGCATGATTCTGAAAATTGTCGCCAAGACCAAAATGACCCGTTTACCGCGCATCATCATGCCGCCAAATCCCATTGTACCATACATGGAGATTATTCTAACCAAAGAACGTCTATGTAAAGAAGAAAAGGTTCCATACAAATAATGCTGTTATCACATCTATAGACGCGCGCGCTTACCCGGGACATTTCCGAGAAACGAGATTCTAGTAGCACGGCTTTAAGCGGCAGGCTTCCGAGAAATGTTTTGTCTAGCTAGGAGGAATGTGTCCCGGCCACGAGCAACATTTTAAAACTTTTCCCAAAATGTTCCGGCTGGAGACGTGTTCCTCAAACGTTCAACCAATCAGACGAAAGGTCAGCTTCTGAAGGATCACGGGTAACTTTCAATACAGTGATGGCTCTCACTGTGAAGTGATGGACGGTGGAAATAGAGGCTGATTTAATTATTGCTGTATT